AACCTGCTTTAAAAAGTGGTTTGTTTGCTGGGCGCGGTGCCTCACACCTGTAATCCCAGCACTTTGGGAGGCTGAGGTGGGAGGATTGCTTGAGTCCAGGAGTTTGAGGTTGCAGTGAGCTATGATCACAGAGGTCATTTCAAAAAAAAAAAAAAAAAAAAGATGAAAAATAACAACTCCCCAATCCCCCCATTCTGACAACCACCATTCTCTTTTCTGTCTCTATGAATTTGACTGCTCCAGGTACCTCCTGTAATCATACCGTATTTGTTCTATTGTGACTGGTTTATTTCACATAGCCAAATATCCTCAAGATTCCTTTCTAGGGTAGCATGTGTCAGAATTTTCTTTCCTTTTAGAGCTGAATGATGTCCCATTTTATTTATAAACCACATTTTCTTTATGCATCTGTCCATCAATGGACACTGGGTTGTTTCCATCTTTGGGCTCTTGCGAATAACACTACTGTGAGGAAGCCTTTAATTCCTTAGCCCTGGGCCGCTATGTATTACCTGGGTTGGGGATGTAATAAAGTAAAGGTCTAGTGTGTTAGGATTGCATTGGTTGCAAGTAACAGACACTAACTCAGATTGGCGTGAACAGGAAAAGGACTCTTTTGGCATGCATCTGGGAAATGTCCCGGATTCAGGCTGGATCCAGGGGTTCAAATGCTACCATGGGGTCTGAGCCCTCTCTCTCTCTGGCACTGCTTTCTTCTGTGTGACAGGTGCTTTCCATGGGAAACTCCTGGTGTAGAGTTCTCCCAGCAGCCACTGAGCAGGCAAAAGGGTCTCTTCCCTGATAGTGCCATCAAAAGTCCCAGAATGGGGTCTCATCAGTCATGTGCCCATCCCTGAATCAGTTGTTCATTGGCAGTGCTGTGGTTGGCTGGGTCTGGGAGGGAGACATGCCCACTCCCGTCATGAAGACCACAGGAGGGATTCTCCATGGGAAATCAGGATTTTGTTACCGAAAGGAGGGGAAGGTACCGGACAAGCAGGAACATGGGCTGACTGCTGTGAGGGGAAGCTAACCTGGCATTCCTAGTGCGTGCCAGGCATTGGCCCCATCTCCATTAGCTGTTGTGGCTTACCCATCGAGGGAGATTACTGTACTCATTTTAGAGTGAAGGGTGGGTGGCCGGAGAGGTGAGTGCCTTGTGAGTCTCTCTAGCAGCAGAGTTGGCTCTGGGACCCGGGGTGCGTGCTCTCTCACCAGCCCCCAAACCCAGGACAGGGACAAAGCTCTGCACTAGGACAACTCTCACTAAAAAATTAGATCTCCGCCTAAAAATGCAGACATCACGTTGTGTTCAGGGGCTGATTCCAATAAACCAATTAGGCTTGCTGCAGAGTCCTTGTACTGTACGTTCAGAACTTTAAAAATTGTAAACAAGAGACCAAGGATGAATTGTGTAAGCAGATTTTTTTTTTCCATTTATGGAAGTGTGCTTTTTGTTGGTTTTAAGAAAAAAATCAGTTATTTGACAATTTTTATAATTTTTCCTTGTTTTTTTAATCCCTGTTGACAGTGTCCTTGACAGTCATTCAAACCTTACTTAAGCATCCCCGGTGGCAGGGGCCATTCGTATGGTAGTTTCCCTTTCTGGGCCTTAGTTTACCCATCTGGAAGGTGCAGCCCTTTGATGAGCTGCATTCTGTGGTCCCCTCCAGCTCTAACTTCCTGTCAGTGGTGCAAAAGTTGCCTTACTGGTGTCCCTGCCCCTCTTTAAGCCATTTCCACACAGCAGCTGGAGGGATACGCGTGGATATTTTTAAACACGTACCCTGGATCCTGTCGAACGCCGCCCCCACCCCTTCAGACTCTTCAATAGAATGAAATCCAGACACTTCTCTGTGGCCTGTGAACCCCTCATCATCGGCTGCTGCCTCCTCCCCCACTCAGCCCCTTCCTCCCGCAGCGCTGTCCGCCGTCACAGTCTCTGTTCCCCACACAGGCGAGCATTTTCCTGCCACCACATCTTCCTTCCCACTTCTCTTTCTGCCTGTACACCCTTTCCTCAGCTCTCAACGAGCTCCTCACCCTTCACAGTTCTCGGTTCAAAGGTTGCCTCCTCAGATAGGCCTTCCCTTCCAAGACCCCCATATCTTAAGTAGCTGGTCCCCCACCTACCTCCCTCATGCAGACTTTGGGGTCCCGCCCAGCAGTTTGCAGGTTTGCTGGTTTATTGCCTGTCTTTCCCCTTAACAAGGGCAGGGTCTGGGTCTGCCTTGCTCCCCATTGTAACTCAGCACCTAGCAGAGGGCCTGGCATGCAGTAGGTGTTTAATAGATATTGGAGAGTGAATGAATGGAAACCAGTCAAAATCTCCACGCTGGAGTCTTGATGAAGCAGGGTGGAAAGCTAAGAAACAGATCTGAAGGCTGCTTGTTAAATGAAACTCACCACGACTGTTCAGGATTTTTTTTTTCATCACAAAGTCACCTTTCTGAGATGGTAACTGATGCTTACCTCCTAAAGGATGCCTTGCCCTCTTCCCTGGCTCTGTCAGTTACCTAGGAACAGGGAACAAGGAAGAAGGGTGGGCTGGATGCCCAAGTCCTTGGTGTCAAAGTACCCTGTTTTTATGAGCAGGGACGGGGTAGGCATTGCGCGGTCTGAGAGCAAGGTGCTGAGATTTCATGAACATTTTCTCTTTCCCTGGCAAGGTGCTCAGAGTTTTGCCTCTTGTGATAATCACAACTCTGTGTGCTTGATGACCCCATTTGACCAGATAAGAAAGCTGGGGCTCCAGGAGTTAGGAAATTGTGTGAGTCCAGAGCTTCTTGACTCTAGAGCCAAAGTTCCCCGCGTCTGCTATGTTTTGAAATAAAATCCATGTTGAGTTTGACGAGGCCATGCCTGGTGAGTTGCTTAGCTTGGCATTCAAGGTTACCTCCAATCTTGTCCCGATTTATCTTCACATTTTTCATCTCTTCTCACCTGGAGAATCTTTCCCTATAAATCCTTAATGTTCACACTCAGTGTCTGGCCCCAGCCCCTAAAGTTGCTCTATATTTTTCTGTTTAGAATATGAGTGTTCTCCTCAGAACTCATTTGAAAAGAGACTCTGGCTAAAACCACGGTGGAAACCGCTGCCAGGCGTAGTGTGACTTCACCCTGAGCTGGTCTTTGTTCCACCCTCATTCCCCTCCACTCGCAGCCACTGCCTTCCTCCCCTGCTGTCTAAATCCTACAGGTCCATCACTGTGGTGACTCAAGGCTTCAGAAATCTCTCTCCTGCCCACTTCCTGTATCAACCTGGACTGGATTTCATGGGTCAGAAACCCAACTTGAACTGGCTGCAAAAGTTGTTCAAGAGAGTGATGTGGCCCAAGACGGAATTATTGGCCCAGGAAACTGTACAGTCCAGGAATAAATTTAGCTTCAGGCAGAGCTGGATGTAAGCTTAGACAGTGTCATTGGGATGGTGGCTCCTTTCTCAGGCAGGCTCCCCTGCACCCCTCAGTGAGAATAGGTGGCCCCCAGCAGCTCCACATCCTGACAGCCTGGCAATCTCAGGAGGAAAGCTTGATTTTCTTGAGAGTTGGAGCAAAAGTCCCAGGGCAGGCCGGGGGCAGTGGCTCACTCCTGTAATCCCAGCACTTTGGGAGGCTGAGGCAGGCAGATCATTGAGGTCAGGAGTTCGAGACCAGCCTGACCAACATGGCAAAACCTGGTCTCTACTAAAAATACAAAAATTAGCTGAGCATGGTGGCACTCACCTGTAATCCTAGCTACTTGGGAGCCTAAAGCACGAGAATCTCTTGAACCCAGGAGGCGGAGGTTGCAATGAACCAAGATCATGCCACTGGACTCCAGCCTGGGCCACAGAGCAAGACTCCATCTCCCAAAAAAAAAAAAAAAAAAAAAAAGTCCCAGGGCGGGCTCCTACTAGCTCTGATTGGCCCAGCTCAAGTCACATTTTCTCCCTTCAACCAATCGCCATGAACGGAGAATGTATCCCCTCTGTATCCAAGGGAATGAGCTGAAGGTAGGGAAAGAGGATCCCAGGAGTCAGTCATCTTCACTTATGTATGCATTGTCTCTCCTGCTAACTCTCAGCTCGTGGAGGACAGGGACCTTCCCAGCGAACCCCAGGGCTTCTGACGGCACTGAGCGTCTTGTGTTTCTGTGACATTTCTGTTTCCAAACAGCTTTCACATATGCATGTATTTCAATGGTCACAACTATCCTATAGCAACAGATAGTTAGGCTATTCTTGACCCAATCCAAGAATGGGTCATAGGTATGCTGACCCCTTAGCTCTTAGATGTCCACCTGGTGTGTCCAGGGCCAGCGAAGGCCCCAGCCAGGCACCTCTGACCTCTAATAGTCACCTCAGTTTGCCCGGATTTGTTATCAGTGCCTTGTTTTCTGTGTGTGCTGTGACGTGTGACGAAGATTGGAAGTGCAGCCCAATGGTTTATAAAATGGTCCTTTGTCCTTAATTTCGTCAGCGCCCCACATCTATCCTGGGAGGCAGAGGAAGCAGATGCTGTTAGCCCCATTCACAAGAGAAACTGGGACTCAGGGAGAAAATAACTTGGCCCAGGACCTCGTTGGTGGAGACGGCATGATGGGCTGGCCTGTGGAAAACAGAAGATGGCCAAGAGCTGCACATCTTTGTGACATCTCCTGATGAAAGTCGAGGTTTTAGGAATGACTGGCAAGATAGCCAGCCCGCAGCTTGCCGAATTGACCGGGTTGTGAGAAATCCCGGCAGTGCTGAAAACAGTAGCTTCTCCCGAGCTGACACGGTGCCATTGCATCCCCACACTTGCTGTCATTCATCCTTTGCACGACTCTGTTGGGGGTTATTATACCCATTTTATTGAGGAGGGAGTTGAGGCTTACAGCAAGCAGCTTGTCCAGCCAGTCATTGGCAGAGCTAAGGCTGAAACCCACATCTTTCTGACTCTGAGTCTTGTGCTCCCCCTGGTTCCAGAGCCCGGGAGGCTGCTGGATGTTTACACCCATCTCCTCTGCTGCTCCTGCAGGTCTACATCATCCGGGTCACGTGGTCCAGCGGCTCCACCGAGGCCATTTACCGGCGCTACAGCAAGTTCTTTGACCTCCAGGTAAGGATTTGAGGTCTCTGGTGAGCTGCATGGTGGGAAAGAGTTTAATTGGACATACGTTCTTCTACAGCTTTAGAGTCCAGAATTTTTTTATTTTCCAGACTTAAAAATGACATCCATGGCCAGGTGCGGTGGTTCACGCCTGTAATCCCAGCACTTTGGGAAGCCAAGATGGGCTGATCACTTGAGGTTAGGAGTTCTAGACCAGCCTGGCCAACATGGTGAAATGCCATTTCTACTAAAAATACAAAATTAGCCAAATGTGGTAGTGCATGCCTGTAATCCCAGCTACTAGGGAGGCTGAGGCAGGAGAATCGCTTGAACCCGGGAGGCAGAGAGGGCAGTAAGGGTTACCTGAGCCATGAGTGAGCCAGGAAGGCACAGGAGCGTGTAGGGAGGGCAAAGGCCTGCAGGGAGAAGCCAAGGTGAAGCAGGAGATTCAGGTCTGTCTTCAGAGCTGAACAACCCCAAAAGTATAGACACATTCAACAAACCCAGCTCACCAGCAAACACAAGTTATCATTCAAAACTTAAGTTCAAACGCTGCATGCCAAAGCCATTTGGAAATGATTTCCAGGTTACCCTCCATTCTGGAGCAGTCAACAGGTACCCTTTCTCTTTTGGGGGAAATATGAAATATCAAAGCATAAAGCACCAAAGCACATTATGTGTGTCCCAGAAGTAATAGATGTCATTTTCCTTTTTTTTTTTTGAGACTGAGTTTTGTTCTTGTTGCTCTGACTGGAGTGCAATGTGTTAAAGCTGTCTGCTTGTCTGTCTCCTCGCCTAGACTATCACTATCATAACCACATCTTTCTCTTCCTCTGTGTCCTTAATAATTTATTCAAGGCCTAATACACAGCATGTGTCCAGTCAGTGTCTGGTGAATGAATGAATGAATGAATGAACGAATAAACGAATGAACACCATATACACCACCAGGCTTACAGGGAGCCAGGCAGAATTGAATAGCTTGGTATAAGCCCATCCCTATCTAGGGTAAAACAAGTTTAACCGATGGGTCGGTAGTTTCTTCTTGAGGTCACTAACAGCAAGTAACACAGCAAGTATGAGAAGTAGTCACGGTTCCTCCTGGTAGCATATAATGGAGTTCTTTAGAAAACCCTCCGGAGGCTTTGGGAACTTGCCTGGCTTCTGAACATGTGTCTTCTCCCAGCCTCCTGGTAAGGGGTCGTGTCACCTTTCAGGCCAACACGCATCTCCATCCTGAGATGACGAGCTTCTTTTCAGTCAGAATGGTTCTGTTACAAGTGACAGAAACCCAACTCAAGCTGGTTGAAGTAAACAGGAGGTTTTTTGGCAGGTGGAACTGAATGTCCTAGGAGAGTAAGTCCCCCAGGCTTCAGGCACATCTTCATCCAAGGTTTTTGTGGTGTCACGTGATCTGGCTTCTTCCTCTCATTCCAGTTCCTACTTCCATGGTGTTGGCTTTATCCTGGAATCCCACATGATTACACAATGGTACAACAGCTCTGGGCTCACACCCAGCAGGAAAGGGTCAAAGTCACTTGTCAGAAGTCCCAGCAAACACATTATTGTGTGTCATAGGCTCAACTCTATGCCAATCAACATGAGTGAGAAACGTGCCAGCCAGTGGGCTTGCCACAGCCCCTGCTCCACGCCAGAAGTCAATAAGGGTGGAGACCGAGATCCAGAGAGATGTAGTTTCACAAACTGCTGTGATCAGAGGTGAAGTCGACATTTCTGGGCCGTCAGAAGACCGCCGGTGTCCTTTGTACATCGTCCTGTCTTTTTGCCTCACAGTTTCTCTGAGAAGGTTGGCATCCTTCGTTACTCTGACCTAATCTGCTCCTGACAGTGTGGAATAGAGAATTTTCAGAGCTTGTGTTTCATTATTTTATAGGGGGAGGGGAAATAATGTGTTCCTAACTGGTTTGCCAAAACGCCTACAAAACAAACTGCCGAGACTCATTGCCTAATATAAAGCAAGTGAGACACCAGTTACCTAATTATTTAAAATGTAATGAACTCGTCAGTGATGTTTTGTGTTCAGTATGCAATAATATCAAACAGAATTATAAACCAATTCTATTTTTGCTTCTGCTCTGCAGCAAACAGAATGTAAATAAACAAAGCAGCTATATGTTAAAGATGCCAAGATACCATCTAAAGTGAACTTGACAGGAGCGAACCTGGGGGCAGGGGAAGAAAGATTTAAAGCCCTGGGGGAGAGGAAGGGAGGGTCACAGTGGTGATGCCATGGGCAGGAGACGCAGTCCTGGCTGAGAATGAGTGAGATACAAATGGAGGACCCTCTGCGTTCTTTACCTAGCTCTATGGTGATTTATGCAGATTCATTATAGTAGATCTTCAAAGAGTGAGTGTTGGGTAAACATTTTTGCAAGTTGCTGGACTGACTTTTTATGCAGTGAGGGTCTAGATAGGGAGGGCTACCTGTATTTTGCTTTCAGGCCTCTTGCGGGCCTGACACCTCCAAGGAGCAGAAGAGAAGGTAGGAAACAATCACACGTGATTGGTATCTTAGGAATTATTGACATCCACAGAGCAAAGCCCACTAAGCTAGCTTAGGCACAAAGAGAGGGGTGGGGGTGGATATATGGGAAGAGGCAGGTGTGTTCCCTGAAACTCAGAGCAGAAAATGCAGCCAGCCTTGGCAAGGGCCAGGAACCAGCTGGCAGTTCCCGGGCCGTCGGTCCTTATGGCCTCGGGATCTCCCATCAAGCCTGTTCTGGACTGCTTCCTCCAGTTGCCCACTCGCCCACATCCCCCAGGAGCATCCGCCAGTGAGCACCTTCCATCCGAAGTTGCAGTGATCTTCCCTGTTGTCAAAGCAATAGCGTTTCTGGATGCTGATTCCAGTCTCCAGCAGGGAGAATCTGACTGTCCCAAGGGTCCTGAATCATAGTTCACTGCCGAGCCTGTCAGCTGTTGCTGGGGAGGTGGGGATGTGGAGTCATCTGGAAAAGATCTGATGAGAAGCGGAGTGGGAAGCGGAGTGGGAAGCAGGCCGTAGAACTGCTTATGTAAATGTTGTTCATTGCTGACATGTCGAGGCTTGTGGACCAGGCTCGGTGCAAGGTGGACTGGCTTCTCTGAGTTCCCTATTCCAGCATAGCCTAAGGCTTAAGACCTTGGCTTTCGGTCAAACAGACCTGGATGCAAATCTCAGCTTTGCCTGTTGAGGGCTCAGCTTGGGACCACCTCTGTGTGTTTCTGAGCCTCAGCCTCCTCATCTGCATAGTAGAAATGAAAATGCCTTCCTCGTGCATTTTTGCGCCAGTTAAGCAGGACACGCCTGGCTCAGTAAGCATGTTGTCAGCTGTCCTCTGCACTGGTGTGACTTGCCCAAGCTGATACCCTATGGGAATACTTGAGCCAGGATTTGATCACGGGTCTTCCTGGCCCAAAGCCAGTGCTCCTTCCACTCTCCTGTTCTGACTCAACTCTCTTATTTCTACCAGAACTTTAAGGCTCTCCTCCATGCTTAGCATAATGGGTAACAACTGGGGGGTTGCCGCATCAGCCTTCCCTCCTGTAACAAAGTTGTCTAAAGCAGGGCTGCATCCAGAGTGACAAGATGTGGGGCTGGAGTGGGAAAGTCACGGAATTCTAGAGGGTCCTCCTCATCCTGGAAGCATCCTGGAACCGGCCTCCTCCTCCCCCACACACCCCAGCGGGGAAAGCTGGAAGAGGTTAGCACAGGATCACACCAGCCCTCGCGGGCCTGCAACACCCTGGAGTTAGATGATTTCATGATTCCACCCTCCCCTCCCTCCTGTCTGGCAAGCAGCCTTGGTTTTTTTCAGAAGTTAACTTGGCCCAAACAGCGTGGGGAGAGCCAAGCCTTGTGGAGGAGCAGCAAGGCCAGTGCGGCGTAATGGAAAAAGCAGAGGACTCAGTCAGGAGACCTGGGGCCCAGCCACCCACCAGCTGTGTGGCCTTGGGAACACCCGTTAACCCCTCTGTGCCCGAGAGCCCTCATTGGTGACATGCGGTGATAACAATAGAAACAGCTGGCATTTCTGGAGCACTGAATGTAGGCCCCATCCTGCTAAACATCTAGATGTAGTGACTCATTCAGTCCTCCAGACAAGCTTATCCAATTACACAAATGAAGACACCCAGACTCAGAGAGGTTAAGTCACTTGCCTGAAGTCACACAGCTGGTGAGCCTCAGAGTTCAGATTGGAAACTGGGCAATCGACCCCAGTATCCACACTTTTAGCTGCTCTGCTGTCTGGGGCTCCTCTCTGTAGTGGCTACTTCACAAGGTTCTTATGAGTTAAAATTTATCGTCTGTGTCCAGAAGAGGCAAATTCATAGACAGAAGCAGGTTCATGGTTGCTAGAGGCTAAGGGAAAATGGGGAGATACTGGTAATGGGTACTGGGTACCTTTTATGGGTGATGAAGATGTTCTAGAATTATTTAGTGGTCATGGAGGCATAACTTCATGAATATACTGAAAACCACTGCATTGTACACTTTAAAAGGGTGACTTTTATGGTATGTGAAGTATATCTCAGGGTTTTTAAAAAGGGATGGTGAAGCCGGGCGCGGTGGCTCAAGCCTGTAATCCCAGCACTTTGGGAGGCCGAGGTGGGTGGATCACGAGGTCAAGAGATCGAGACCATCCTGGTCAACATGATGAAACCCCGTCTCTACTAAAAATACAAAAAATTAGCTGGGCATGGTGGTGTGTGCCTGTAATCCCAGCTACTCAGGAGGCTGAGGCAGGAGAATTGCCTAAACCCAGGAGGCGGAGGTTGCGGTGAGCCGAGATCACGCCATTGCTCTCCAGCCTGGGTAACAAGAGGGAAACTCCATTTCAAAAAAAAAAAAAAAAAAAAAAAAGGGATGGTGAGTGCCAGAGCAATTTCTAGGCTGTTGAGCACCAAGCAGATGCCAGCTCTTAGGATTATTGATGGGCATGGGTGCTGCTAGGACTTGGCATTAAGATTAAAGGAGGAGATGATGCCAGTCAATAGAGTGCTGAAGA